TGGCACTGCCTCTAACATCCTTGCCACTCAGAAGGAGTTACTTGAGGATCTTGTGAAACTTGATGTGGAGTTGAGAATGGACAGCACTACGGCTTATCTAGCCGCCCCTTAGTGCACAACCGGCATTAATAGATAGAATCAAACTTGCCCAACAAAAAGATTCCTTCTTGCAGAAGATGAAGGAAAAAGTAAGAGTCGGGGAACCCCACATGCAAGAATTCAGGACTTCTGATGATGAGATTCTGTGGTTTGGTGACAGGCTGTGTGTACCAAGAGACCATGCTTTAAGGCGTGAGATTATGGGAGATGCCCATTATACTAGTTATACAATTCACCCAGGTAGCACCAAGATGTATCGCGATTTACGTACTACATTTTGGTGGTGGAACATGAAGAGGGAGATAGCTAGATTTGTCTCACAATGCCTGACTTGCCAAAAGGTCAAGGCTGAACACCAGAGACTTCTTGGAAAACTGCAGCCGTTACCTATTCCTCAGTGGAAGTGGGAAAACATCACCATGGACTTTGTGATTGGATTACCACGAACCTTAAAGGGTAATGATTCCATTTGGGTCATCGTTGATCGATTGACCAAATCAGCTCACTTCTTACCCTACCAAACTGGCACCTCCATTAAAAAGCTTGCCAATATGTACATGGAGGAGGTAGTCAAACTGCATGGAGTCCCTGTGTCTATTGTGTCAGATAGAGATACTAGATTTTTGTCTCATTTCTGGACAAGCTTGCAGTAGGCACCTTGGTACTCAATTAAATTTCAGCATGGCCTTTCATCCTCAAACTGATGGGCAATCTGAGAGAACTATTCAGATACTTGAGAACATGTTGAGGGCTTGTGTTCTAGATTGGAAGGGTTCATGGGATCAACACTTATCCATGGCTGAATTTGCATATAATAATAGTTATCAGTCCAGCATCCGCATGGCACCGTTTGAGGCTTTGTATGGTCGAAGGTGTAGATCACCTGTTTGCTGGACGGAAGTGGGCGAAAGGAGCATTTTAGGCCCAGAATTGGTGTAGCAATCTTCTGAGATTGTGCAGTTGATCAAGGAACGCCTTTGTGCTGCACAAAGCAGGCAGAAAAGCTATGCGGATAGAAGGAGACGAGACCTTGAGTTTGAAGTTGGTGACCAGGTATTTTTGAAGGTGTCACCCACTCGAGGTGTCCTCAGGTTTGGCATCCGGGGAAAATTGAGTCCGAGGTATATTGGACCATATCCCATCTTGGAAAGGATTGGCGAGGTAACTTATAAATTGGAGTTGCCTGGGAATCTAGCGGGTGTTCATGATGTGTTTCATGTGTCCTTACTTTGGAAGTATGTTCCTGACCCAAATCACATCATTAATCCCGAACCAATTCAACTCTGGGAGGATCTTACTTATGACAAGCACCCGATCCGCATTTTAGATTTCAAGGAGAGGATGATGCGGAGAAGGACCATTCGTTTTGTTAAGGTCCTCTAGGACAACCATTCGGTTGAAGAAGCTACTTGGGAGTTGGAATCCAAGATGAGGCAGGAACATCTGCACCTCTTCCAAGATTGAGGTATGAGTTGAGGGGACTAAACTCCTTTTTAGGAGGGGTGGATGTAATACCCCAAAATTTCCTAAAGCATATAAGTTGAGTTAGGGACTAAATGATGAAGAAACATTATTAATGGACCTAACCTTCA